GGGCTCACCTCTCTGTGGAGTATGGCCTCGCTGCCCTGGCCCGTGTGGCTCAGTTGGTTGAGCATCATCCTGTGCACTAGAAGGTCGCTGGTTCGATTCCCAGTCAGGGCACATGCCCCAGTTGTGTGGGCTTGATCCCCAGTCGGGGGCGTACAGGAGGCAGCCGATCGCTGTTTCTCCCCCCCCCCCCCGTCCCCTAACATCAATTAAAAAAGCATATATATATATCTCCTAGCTCATGGTGACCAGGGCACCTGGGGGATGCTCAGCATTTTAAACATATACACACTGAGGCTCAGAGATGTTAAGTGGCTTGTCCAAGATCACACAGCATTTATGGCTGAGCCTAAGACCGTCTGCCCATTTGGACAGTGTTTTCACGGTCTGGAGCCAGGCCACAGCGGGGAGGAGGTTGGAAGATGGGTGGACTCCTCCATTGCAAACACAGACAGCCCCGCGCTGGGTACTGAGAGGGGTCGTGTCTGGGAACAGCCTAGTCACACCCGGGTGTCAGGGAGTCCAGAGAGTCCCAGAGGGGCATCTGGGTGGGCACCATGGTGGGCCCAGCACTGTGTCCACTTAGGGACACCTGGCGCACTCTCACTTCCTGTGGTGCCCGCCCCGTGTTCCCGGCAGCTGCATCATCTTAGGACGCGGGCACACGTGTCTCGGGTGCTCCAGCTCAGCTGGCTCCCTGGACCCAAGGAGCCCCATGGGCATTCACGCCTCTGCCAGCCCCACGGCGGGGGGGGGGGGGGGGGCCGTGATCCTGAGATGGCGATGGGTGTGCAGAGCGCTCTTGGGGTCTCCTCTGCTCGAGAACGGGGCAGCCCCCTCCCCACCCCCACACGCGCACACTCTGCCCTTGGCAGCACCCTGGAACCCAACACCGCTTCCCGTGTCTGTGGTCGGCCACGCCACCCAAGCCACTCTAACTGGGTCGCGGGGAGCCCAGAACCTGGGTCTGATGGGAAAAGGCTGGTGGGTCACCAAGCACCTGAGGCTGCCCCTCCAGGTCGTGTCTTCCGAGCTGAGTTTGAGCAAAGCCCTTCAGGGGTGGGGTGACCTAGGGGGCTCTCTGGGCAGGTGTTGGTGAGCGGGACCGGTCCCCGGGGGACGTGCGTCTGGCACAAATGGCAGGTGTTTCCATTTTTCCTCTCCTTGCCCATGCAGGGTGGTGTGTGTGTACATGTGTGTGTATGTGCACGTGTGTGTGTGTGTGTGTGTGTGCGCGCGCGCTGCTGGCACCTCTGGGGAAGTGGGTGCCTGCCAGGAGGAGGAGTCCCTTTCCTCCCCGCCTGTCTGACTTTGATGATTGAGTTTCAGCCACCAACTGGGACAGTTTCTTTCCTCCCCTTTCTCTTCCCAAATCCTGTCCCCGCTCCTCTTGCCGGGCAGGGAGGTGTGCAGGCAGCGTGGGGACCCGTGGAGGGACACCAGGGTAGGACAGCCTTGCCGTGAGCTGCTCCTTCCGGGCGTGGTGGGTCAGAGAGGCAGGGGTTCGCTGGGGGTTGCACAGCGGCGCGTGGGGGCCGCTTCCTCTTTCTCTTTGCAGCTTTCTAAAAACGACGGGTTCCCAGAAGGGCTGTGGGAGGGAAAATCGCGTTTTGGTTTCTGTGGCAGGGAAGCAGGGAGACCCGGCCACTTCCTCGCGGGGGGGCCCCCCCATCCTGTGAGTCAGCGGGGGGCGGGGGGGGGCCAGCAGGGCCGCCCAGCCTCTGGGGCAGCTGGAAGTCACTCCTCCCTGCAGGCGGCCCCTCAGCTTCCTGCTCACCTAGAGGTTGATGGCCGCCTCTTTCCTCTCTTGGAGGGGCCTGCTCGCCCCTTGTCCGAGGGCCTCTCCCTCCCCATTTGTGGCCACAGGCGGGGTGAGGGTTAGAGCCCTCCTGTCCATCACCTGCCTGGGGTCCGAGCTGCTGCTGCTGGCTCCCTGCCCTGGGTCCCAAAGCCCTCAAAGCCTCGGGGTGATGGAGACCCCGCCCACCTTTAGCAAGACGGAGGCGTCTTCTGGAACCTGCTAGTGTGGGTTGGTGGCTGGCAGGTAGAGCCAGGGGGAGGGGGCTGGATCCAGACTCCTTGGTGCAGGTGGTACGGAGGGGGGGTTTTGGGGGGGGCAGACAGGGAGGCGGGTGGGGAGGCCCCCAGCACCATGCCTGGATGCACAGGGGTGCTGTCGGGACCTCCCTGGGAGACTGTGTGCCCTGGCGATGTGTCTGGACAGAGCGTCCCTGGCAGTGCCCAGCCCCGCCCTTAGTGGGGAAACCGGCTTCTGAGGCTGCTGCTCGCTGGCCTAGGCTGCTGGGCATGAGGTGGGGGGGGGGGGCTCAACCCATGATGATTGGAGTGTTGTACCCCCCAACCCCATGCTGGACCCCACCCTAAGCCCCCTCCCTCTCCCCAGGCTCCTTAGGAGTCTCCTCACAACTCTAGGCTGAGGACCTTTCTGGGAGGCCCCACCGAGTTGGGGCTCAGCTTAGGCAGGTGGCAGGGGCTGAGCCAGGCGGACAGGCCCTCAGACCTCCCTCCTCCCATCGTGGCTGGGAGCTGCGGCGGCAGGGGTCTGAGAGCAGCGGATGTGACTGGGCCAGGAGGAAGCCTGGTCCCAGGATGTCACAATTTCCTGCAGTGAGCAAGCACTTCTGGGGCGCAGGAGATAAGTTGTGGGCGGGGTGCTCCCGGAGCTCCAGCCCTTGTTCTGCCCGGGCTCTGCGGCCTGGCTCCTCCACGCCCTAGACTCTGCTCTGCAGGGTCCAGAGTGGGTGTGGCCACCCCTGCACTGCCACCCCCTGACCCTCACCCCTGAGCCCTAAGGAAGGGGCTGGGAGGGGCTCACAGGCCAGGACTTGGCACTGCTCTGTGAAGATGGGTACGTGGCTCTCCTAGGTACCACACTCCTCCCCAGAAAATGCGCCCCACCCCTGCCTCTGCTCCCTTCTCAGAACCCCCAGGATTGCCGGGGCAGCCCCATCCTCCAGTCCTTCAGCCTTGGATTGTGCCTGCCTCCCCCTTCCCTGCCCCCCCTTTAGGTTGGCGCTGATGCCAGCAGCACAGCGGGTCCTGGGCCAGGGGTCCCAGCCGGGGGTGGTATGGCCTTGGGATGGGAGGGCTGGCTGGGAGTCTGGGCTGTGCTGGGGTTGGGGACAGGCCGTCCACCGGGGACTCAATCTGGGACAGCATCCTCCATCCTCCATCCTCGGCCCCGGTCACAGTGGGCGGGGCCCAGGCACTCAGTGGAGCTTCCCGAGGAGGCCGCGTCCCGGGCTGGCTGCAGGGCTGGGGGTGACCGTTCCTGCCCAGGGTGGCTGTGGACTGACCACCTGCCGCCTTGCATGTGCCCCTCGCACCTGCTCTCAGGCTGGCTGGCTGTCAGGCTGTCAGGCCGTGCCGCCCAGGGCCGCGGGGACACTCGCATGTCGGCAGACCTGCGGAGCCGGCGAGAAGCAGGTTGATTCTGTCTGGTGGTGGCAGGGAAGGCCTCCTGGAGGAAGTGACATTTTACTTTCCTTAAAGCAGCTGGTAGGTAGGCGTGACCCTGGCATGCCAGGTGCTGGGCCTCAGATAAGAGGAGGTGCGAGCTGGGGGGCCGGGCCAGGATGTGTCTGGTGGGGTGTGGTCGCTCTGAGTTCCAGAAGGATCCTGCCTGTTTGGTGGCCTGACCAGAGCTCGGCCTGGCAGCCCCGCTCACCTCCGCCTTCCTCTGCTGCCCGCCTGCCTCCCTTCTTGGTGCCTGTTTCCCAGGACAGCTCACCCCGTGCCCTCTCTCTGCCCCCTGGTCCCGAAGGAGGCCAGGCCGGGTACTTGCCATGCGGGGCCCAGGGGAGCCTGTTGTCTTGGAGCTGTCCCCAGGGTGGGCTCCGAGTGGCATCGTCACATGCCTCCCGGGACTGAGGAGCCCACTGCCCGTGACTTCCATGCCCTGGGGCCTGGGCTGAGGACTCCTAGCGCTTGGGTAGAGAAGGTGGACACCTGAGTCTGCTGGTCGGGCCTGAAAGAAGCAGGAAGTGTCTGGAGCCCCTGCTCTGCCTCGGGTCCTTCCCCAGAGCCCCCTCCCCACCCAGAGTTCAGAACCAGAGGCTCTGATCCGCTATGTAGAGCGAAGGGCCTAGTGCTGTCCTGTGACTCAAAGGAGGGCCCAGACCCACCCCAGCCTCTGGGCTCCTCTGGGTGCCCAGGGCCCTCTAGAGACTGCAGTTTGCAAAGTGCTCAGATGCTGACAGTATTTTCTGTGGCCTGGATTCTCCACTGTCTCCCCGACAGGGTGCCTTCCCGCCCTGAGTGCACCCCAGCTCTAGCGAGGGTGGGGGCACCCGTTTCCCAAGGAGACCTCGAGCCCTGCAGCCAGAGTGACATGCGTCCCAGCTGCTCCCCTTCCTGGCGCTGAGCGTGGGCGAGTTACTTAGCGTCTCTGAGCCTCCGTTCCCCACCCACCAAACGGAAGCGATGATGATGTCCCCCGACAGGGGTGTTGGGGACAGAGCGGGATGATGCCGGGCAGGCCAGCAAGGCTGGTGCACTGAGGACTGGACCCTGCCCGCCCGCAGTCCTCAGGGCTCTCCTTTAAGTGCGCTGCTGCCCGGCTGTGCGGGGGTATGTGTAGCCGCACTTCTCAGAGAAAATGGGTACCACCCACTTACTCCCTTTTCTTTAAAAAAATAAATGAAGTAAATAAATATATATATATATATTTACTTCACAGAGGAAGGGACAAGGGGAGAGAGATAGAAACATCAATGATGAGAGAGAATCACTGATCGGCTGTCTCCACGCCCTCTACTGGGGATGGAGCCCATAACCCAGGCATGTGCCCCGACCCAGGAATCGAACCGTGACCTCCTGGTTCATAGGTCGACGCTCAACCCTGAGCCACACCGGCCGAGCTCATTCCCCTTTCCATGCTTCATTTTACGTTGGGTGGATGTCACCCCGATATGTGAACGAACCCCAACAATAGCAATGAGAACACTTCCAATGGTTTGAACACTGCCCTTCCTTTCCTCCAGGCTTTAGGCCGAGAGCCCAGGGAGCTGCCCCGCTGGCCTGGAGCGGCTGTCTGTCGCTCCACCTCCACACGCATGCGCCCACCTGTCCATGCAGCTGAGGCCTGACCCCGAACCTCCCTGCAGAGCGAGGAGGGGCTAGAACATGCTCTGGAGGCCTCGGCGACAGACCCAGCGCGCCGTGAGCTGAGCCCACACTCAGAAGGTAGGAAGCTGGGTAGCCGGAGGGTGACCCATGTGCTGGCTACTTCCCGCTGTTTACTTGATGTTCAACAATACGTAGTGTTGCCACCTGTGGGCCACGCTCATGC